ATATATAATTATATAATTATAATATATAATAATAAAATAATATATAATAAAATTATGTAATTAAATAATAAATAATATAATTAATATAATTCATTATATAATTAAAACTTATATAATTATGATTTTTGGGTGAACCTAAACAGTTTGAAATTAATGTAAACATCTAAACGATGGAACTACAGTGGTCTTCTAAAGGCTGTAAATAATTTAATAATGATAAAAAAAATATATTATAAGGGAAAGAATCTGCCACATCTCTCACTATTTGATTGGCAGAGCCATGAGAGAACGGGTCACCTGTTTCCTTGAGCACAGAATTGCATCTGTCAGAAAGAAAAAAGCAAAGCTGGAGAGACTGGCAGAATGAGAAGACAAAAAAATTGAGAGAAAGAATAGAGAGGCACTGGAGGGTCGATCAAGAGAGAGAGAGAGAGAATCCACTGGGGTGGAATAATCTCCACCAGGAGCAAAGTGAAGACCATCAAGCACATTTCACATGCAATTTAGTGTGACGCGTCTGATGAAAACTGTCATAACCAGAGCACTCTAATTTACAAGCTTAAGAGCACGGCGACGTCTTTCAGGGCCAAAGCGTGGCGTTGGGCAGAAGCGTGCGTCAGAATGAATGAGAGCGGTGTGAAGCGTTAGACATCTGGAGGGGCTGAGAAGGTCTCGATTGTAATACAAGGATTTTCAAATTGTCTTGTGGCAATCGTTGGTGCGAGTTTAGGGAGGGACAAGTCAATTGCTGCACTGCACTGCAAGTATAACGCACTTCAGAAGAGTGTAAGACTGGGGTTTGTTTTACTCTTTCAACTTTCTTGTAAGCTTTTTTATAAATCATTCATTCAGTGTGTCCTCATCTCACCAACCCCATCCTCTTATTTGTTTAGATTCCCTGAGGTAACACTTATTAAAGCAATATTGATGCAAGCTACACATCCCAGATCCTCTAAATCCTTCTTCATTTTGACATTATGACTTTTGTCCCGACGGGATATTGCAGAACTGATTATAGAGTGGTGCAGGTATATACGTCAGAATCCGGAAGATTTTCCTATGGGGTTTTTCAGTTTATGAGTAAAATAAGTTCTGTGCATGGTAAACAAAACTTGATGATACTCTGACGTTTTGTTCTACAAAGTAAATTACACACGCCCGTACCGAAAACAAGAATTTTGACACTGTTATGTTTAAAAACTAATGTTTCTAATAAGTAACGAGATAAGAATGTTTATAGCGTGTAATGGGTGCAGTTAACATTAGTTAGTTTAACACACTCATAAATAAATCAAATAAAAAATAAAAAAAAGGGAAATCTCGAAGAAATAAGCGGTGAATTAGTCTTCCGGGATCTGACGTCATACTTGCACCAGTCTATTGCAACCCAAATAATTTTGAACATTTAAAAAAAAAGACTGCTTCATTTTTAATTATTTATTTTGCAACAAAAACTCACAAAAATTGTTAGATAATATGAGTATATTTTACTGCATAACATCAGTAAGCATGCAAATATGTGTGCATTACACATACATATGAATTTGTCTTTTTTGTGCATTAATATATATATTAATGCACACAAAAAAGACAAATTCATATAAAATTATAGAGAAATAATGCAACAATAGTAATATAAAATGATACACACACATACAGTATATAAATATACTCACAAAAATTGTTAGATAATATCAGTGATGATACTGTAAGTATATTTTACTGCATAAAATCAGTAAGCATGCAAATATATGGCTCAAAGGTGTGCATTATATTACCATTGTCTTACCATGGCATTATTTCTCTATAAATCATATAGATCATAATCATAAATCATAATTACACAAACTTGCACTCTGCTACACACTGACTCACATAAAATGACTAACTTATGTAAAGACTGATGGACATGATGGTCTTTACATTAAGATCCAGGACAGACAAAATATTTGTTTGGTATAAATGTCTCAGTTTGAACTGTGGGAGATATATAACTTCAATATATTTATTCCCGGTGCATTTCGGATGCTTTTTCCCTTGAGCTTCTATTTCACGACACTAATTGACCATTAACAGATAAGATACATTTTATGAGTCCATTAAGTAAGTGTAAGTTAAATGACAATCGAAAGGGTCAAGTCATTGTAATTTCCCACGATGGTCCAATGGTGCAGGTTCAGTTGGCGGACATAATTGGCTTTGCTCGTACTGCTCCAGGGAGATGCCTTCAGGCTTGCGTCTTTGCAGTCGTTTATTAACATTTAATACGTACACTTTTTTTCCTCCAGACAGAGAGAGAACCGAGCCCTCCCTCTTCACTGCAGCGAGTTTGGCGGCATCCATGTTTAATACAGATTAGTCGACTCTGGAAACATCACCCTGCTGATCTCAAGGCCATGTGGAGGGGGAGGTGAAGGTGACGCCAGCCCCCGTTTGACGCATCCGTGACACTTTTTTCTGCTGGACCTGCACCGGTGAGCAAATAACCAGATCCAAAAGGCCACCTGTGTCTCAAAATAACAGTAAAATGTCAAATTAGTTTGGTATTTACAAATGTGATGCTCTTAACCATGGTGTTGTTATGAAAAATCTTTACAGAGAACCCGTACCTTAATCCTGAGAGAGCAAAACCTGGCCAACAGCGAGGAGAAAAAAAATGAAGAACTCCCTTAAGTGAGAAAAAAGCAACTTGGTAAGCAAGATAAAAAATAAAACAAACAAAAACACCCCTATGGAGAAGAAGCCATCTGCCTCTGCTAGGCATGCATTTCTAAAAATGAATCATCAATCTGTTCTTTAACTATAGTAAACAGTCGTATGACTCCAACTCTGTGTTGAAAGGCAGTAAGCTAGAAAATAAGAATCATCTTATGTGGCAATAAAGGAAATGAAGCTCATGTTGCATATAAATCAGCGCAGGAAAAACATCCGGCTACTCTATGCAGGCCACCGACTGGGCTTTGGCCATGCAGAGGATTGCATTTTCGAAATTTCATCTCTTTCATACATGGTGATAAACTCAAACTACCATGAAACAATAAAAAGCGCTGACCAAATAGCCACCGTGTCACCCGCTGTGTTCTTTTGCAGCTCGGAGTCTTCGGCCTTACGTAAGCATATGCTGAGATCATTGCATTTCTGAAATAATTGCTTAGAAATATTCCCAAGCGCCAAACTTCGTCTGGTTAAAGACTCTGAACAATAGAGATTAGAAAGCATAAAGCCCGCTCTGATGAACTGAAATAGAAGCACGTGCTGTCAGACGCCGTGTTAATTTCATTACTAAAAAGATTCGCAAATATTTGCAGTTTCATCCAGTTACTCTTTGATTTAAAACAAAGAGTCATAGGATTGGGCTGCAGCGCTGTAATAAAGCCAACAGAGCAAATACAATAACGTATGATCTGTCAGCGAACACTGTGTACACAGAAAGCACAAAAGAACACGTTTCCCTCGATCCTGATATTTACACATTTCCTATTTTACTGCAGCACACGGGCACCTCCGAAAGACGCCTGATTTCTTGAATGCTCCGAATCAGCTGATAAATAATGCATACGCATTTATTGATTAATATTTCACTAGGTGGAGGTTGCTGAGGAATTCTTGAGCAGGCCAATAATGCCTTGCGTGATAAACAGTGTATTTTCCTGGGGATCGACGTTAGCGATTGGATCGGACAGTATTTGTCCATCTTACTGCCTCTAATGACACTTGTGGTTATTGGCAAAGTGAAGGTTAAGTTAATGAGCTGTGGACTGGACGGTCATCAGTGCTTCACGTCTAGAAATTAGTTCATAAAATATCAAATCATTGGACAGGTTTGCACAGTCCAAGACTGCATGGGTTTCTTGGCTTGGTCTTCTAAAAAATGCTTTTGGACCAATGCCATCAGAGTAAATGCTCAAGGGCAACTCGGGCTCTGGAAACTTCAGGCAAAAATAAAAAAAAGCGAAGCAGCGTTGCATTGCAACAACCTATCGGCCCATAACCTCGACTGTTCTCTGCAGTGTGTCTCCTATGTTCTACCTGGTCAGGCATGATAAGCTTAAAAACTTCATCACAGTGCCTGTATTATGCATGGGTTGTTCAGCCTCAGCACTGTGTATAAAGATGTTGTGCTGGACCATTTACAATGTTGCTAAATTTATTTTTAATATCATAATCAAACAATTGTACACCACATCCATCCATCCATTGATCACAAGCAATATAAAAACACTAATTTGAACTCATTTGGAGTATTTTGGTGCTACAGAACACTGCATTTTTCTCGCTCCATGTGGGCAATGGTTTTGACATCGTATCGCCAATTAGCTAGGATCTAAACTTGTGGGTGGCGAGCCAAGGAAAAATAACACTGCAAAATGCGAATAATGAAACAAAATATGAATGACAAATGAATGCAAATTATACAACTTGTGGTACACAGGAAAAATTCGCAAGTGTGTGTTCTAATGTTTTGTACAGACCACAATGTTAGCTCTATGTTGCTTTAACAAAATGTACAAAACAGATTTACTATTCAGTCTGTCGTGTTAATTTTGTATAGTGCCAATGCAGTTAATAGTAACACCATTAATAATAAATGTCATGACTTTAGGAACATTTCGTCTATCTATCTATCTATCTATCTATCTATCTATCTATCTATCTATCTATCTATCTATCTATCCCTTTTAGAGTGATCTACCTATTTTTTCTGGGGTTTTTTTCTTCTTTTATATAGAAAAGACGAGACAACACGTCAATGGAGAGTCTGTGGCTTAAAATATAAACACTGTCCCTTCATTTAGACGAGATATATGCTAATGTATTGATGCTGCTTTTTGCATCAGATAAGCATCTGTTTTAAAAAAAGAGGAAAAAAAAAGAAACCCAGGACTAAAACTGCCTTTCATGACGTTATTAATGACATTACCAGGCAGCGATGTAATATCTCATGCGCGTGCACACACACACACACACACACACACACACACACACCTCACATTATGTTTAGCGCCACAAAATATAAAGACGAACAGCAAAACAACAAAGACGGTGTTGTTGAGAGGCTCTCTTTAGGCGTTACGTTGAGTCTGACATCATGGGAACTCCGCAACCTTAAAAGAGACGGTAAAAATACAACGGGAGATTCACAGTTCGGCTCTCAGTGTGGAATGATAAGGACTAACTAACTGCGTCTCCTGTCAGCTCCTCTTCCCGCCGCTCAAGGCAGCAGAGCAGTCACGTGACAGCAGCGAGGGCTCACAGGCTGAGAGAACGCGCTTCATTCGCCATACTGTGTTTTGTGCCATAACGCATTTTTATCGCAACATTTTACTCCCACTCGGTGAGTACGTTTCCAGGCCTTTTTGTAACCCTTTTTGTCTTTTCACTTGCTCTTTTTTTTATTTTTTTCTCTCTCCTTTTGCTGGGGTTTGAGCATTGAGATTTGAAAAAGTGTTGTTTTGAGGCGTTTTTCGATCCGTACCTCAAGTTTTTAGTATGCAGTGATTCCTATCGGGCTATTCAGTACTGAGTGACACTGGCCAAGTACGTGCTTGCAGTCGTGTGAAATCATGCAACTGGTTTTTAAATGGCCATGGCAGTTCTATTTTTACGTATGTACGATGATGTTTGTTTTGAACCCTTTTTCCTTTTTTGTTCTCTGCCATAGACTTTTGCTGTAGATATGCTTTGCTTGTATTTTGCGGTGTTGTTCATGAGAGTTTTGTGATTTTGATGTCACCGAGCGAAGCATTTGCTTTTATTTTGGTCTTTTCTTTAACACCCAAAAGTCATTTTGAGACCTGGTGACGTTTTAATGGAAACTTTTCTTGCAGCTTACCTGTCACGTTTGTTTTATTTTTGCTGGTTTTTCTTTTCTTTTTCAATGCCTTATACTTTTGCAGATGATTTTGAGGTGAAGTGATTTTTGGAGGTGCTCATTTTTCACGTATATGATGCAAATTAAGGTGTCTATGAAGGGAACTATTGTTTCTTTGGGGGAAATATCAATCAGTGCGTCTTTGCTTTCGCCGAAGATGAACAGACTCTCCTTTGCAGGTATATAAGGACAAGAAATGCAACCTTTCAGCACATGTTTGTTTGCAAATAAAAGCAAGGCGATTCTGAAATGTTAATCTGTGAATCATGTATTCTTTGGCTGAGAGGTTTAATATCTGTAGTTGTGCTTATGTGTGCATAACCATACTGAAAATGAATGTGAAACTATGTGGAACCTAGTGTGAATCATACTTTTATCGTTATGTAGATTACAAGATTAAAGTAAGTGGATTTCTTATTCACCCTATATGTGGATTTGATAGTATTATATTTGGAAGATTCAGCCCACACATCATCTAAAACATAGGATTATAAATGTGCATATGCCAAGGTCCCACAAACTGCAGTTTAGTGTTTCAATGACAAATATTTAAATATAACACGTGTGTGTGTGTGTGTGTGTGTGTGTGTGTGTGTATATATATATACCAACACATTTTAATGCTGGTAAGTAGTTCAATTTAACCGACAACATTGAATAAAAGGGGTAAAAACACATGTAGATGTCTCACAACTGAAAATAAAGAGTAATTAGGATGTTAAACTGTCCTAAAAGAGATTCTGCATGCTGTTTCTTTCAGCACCATGGACAGCGGTTTGAGTTGAGTTCACAAATAGCATTTCAGCACTCTGCAAACAAGCACAACTTTTTCATGGCTTCTGTTATATACAGCGGGGAACCTTTTGCAACACATCTAAAGCTTATTTTCAGATCTGACCACTTAAAGGGATAGTTCACCCCCCCAAAAAAAGGAGTATAAATCTTTTACTCACCCTCATGTCATTCCAAACCTGTATGGACAAAGACAGTTCAAAATATCTTCTCTTTTGTTCCACAAAATAAAGTAAGTCATACAGGTTTGGAACGACATAACGTTTTTTTGAGTTGAACAATCCTTTTCACTTTTTTCCTTTCTAAAAATGTATTTTAGAGAAAATCTGTAAGCATTCTGTTCACATGCTTTTCCCAAAAGCACTGATCAGTGACACAGCAAGGTGTGTGTGTGTGTTTGTGGGGGTGGGCATGGCAATAACAGCTGTTGTGTTTTGTTTTTTTCATCTTGAGCTTCAGCTATTCCAGTTAGCCTACAGAATATCTTAATATCGGCCATTGTAGTGATGGTGAAGGTGCGTGGCTGCATTGAGATGTACATGGCGTGTGTTGAAAGGTGGCTCTGCTGCGTTGATAAATGTCTCTTTCTCTGTCATGCCTCCAGCTGGGTGTTATGATAGCCGGCGTTACTTCCTGCGGCGTCATCTCGGCCCTCCAGGCAATTTTCCCCTGTTATCTGGGCGTCGCACATGACAGCTATAAATGAGGGTTGAGAAATATAATAGCTTATGTGTGGAGATGGCTTTGAGCTCATGAATAAAACATCCTTTCGCTAGTGAAGGACTGTTTACGCTGGACACGTGCCCATCATCTGAGTGGAGTCGAGCTGGACTGGTGCATGATTTGTTGGTTGATTTGTGACTCCTGATCTCCTTAAGATATCACATTGTTATTGATATCAGTTGTTTCCTTACAGACATTATAGCCGGCGGGATACTTTATACCCAGAGGGATTTGCAGGAATGTCTTGGTCTCAGATTCTCAGACTGCCAAAGCAACAGGACGTAAAGGATCAGAGTTAAAACCCCTTTGAACTGCAGTCTCTGATCCGTCACTTGGGGAAAAAGAAACATAGCCTGTTAGGAAAACGTTGGGATGGAAACCACAGCGGTTTGATTCTGTTGAGTTGTTTTCGGTTATTTTTGCACTGTGAGATTGATACTTGATGGATTATTTTAAAAGCATAGTTCATCCTAAAATGAAAAATGCCATCATTTACTCACGTTTCTTTCTTTTATGGAACACACAAGATATTTTTAACAACGCTGGGTTTTAAACAACATTGGACCCCATTGACTTTCATTGTTTTAACACAGAAGAAAGAAAGTCACACAGGTTTGAAATGGGCTGTCAAACGATTAATTGGGATTAATCGCATCCAAAATAAAAGTTTGCGTTTACATAATATATGTGGGTGCACTGTGTATAATTATTTTATATATATAAATACACACATATGCATGTATATTTAAGAAAAAATATTATTTATATATCAAATATTTATATTTATATATAATATAAATTATATATAAATCTATATGCATGAAAATATTTCTTATACAAGCATGTGTGTGTATTTATATATATATATATATATATATATATATATATAAAATAATTATACACAGTGCACCCACATGTATTATGTAAACAAACTTTTCATTTTGGATGTGATTAATCGCGATTAATCGTTTGACAGCCCTATTCGCAACACATTTGACTTTCGAGGCAAGTAATTTTGATTTAAACAATTCATCAAACATTCAAATATTGTGCACTGATTAATTGTGCACAAAAACACTAGTAATATATTAAGAAAGTACATTTTGGTTTTATGTTGAAAGTAAGTGCAAAATTAATATTTTGACTTGTCTTTTTTGTCGTGTCGCCTCATTTCACACTGACATTTTAACACTGAGATTTCTAAATGACATTCTAATGACTGCAAGACTTCATTGCTTTCCCAGACTCATATTCTAATCAACAAAAATTCAGTGTGATGAAGGACGTAACTGCTTTTGAGTTCGCAATGAGCTTATTTTCTAACATATTCATATCGTAATAACAAGCAGAATGAGTTAAAAGCTTCTCTCTCTGAAGGACTCTAACCTCTCATGTAACCCAGAGCTGATAAACAGCTCACCCTTGGCCACGAGCACTGGGCTTTTATAATCTCACAGGAATCGGTTTCCCTTTCCCAAGCTGTAAATTTGATAAATGGGAGGATTCTTCATTAAATAATCATATTCTGAACAATCAAACCAATTTCTGAAGAACAAGGGCAGTCTAGCTGAGCTTTTAAGTGCCAATTATTTTAAAGCATTCACATTATAATACAGTCCTTAAGTGCAACCTCTTCAGTGACATGTACTCCAACAACTTTTCCAATTAAATTGTTTTGTTAACCTTGTGTGAGATTCTGAGGTTCAGCCAATCATTACAATGAGCTCAATCATGTCAATCATATGCAAGATTTTGTCCTGCCCCAGAGTTCAAGTCAATATGAAATCAAAATTGATCCTATTTTCCTTATCAATACATGCATATCTATCCAAAACAACTTTCACGCTGTTGTCACTGAGCACTTTTATTTGTAACCAAACACCAATAGAAACCACTTTTCACAATCCAATTATTTCCAATAGATACAAATATAATCTTTCTAAACACATTTTTCATGTTTCACTCATATACTACCATTCAAAGTCAGTCATTTTATTTTATTTTTAAGAAAGTGGTACTTTTATTCAGCGTAGATGCATTAAATTGATCAGAAGTGACAGTATTTTAGTAACAAAAAATAAATAAATCTAATAAAAGCTGTTCTGTCTGCTCATCAAATAATCACAGTTTCTACACATATATTAAGTATCACAACTGTTTTCAACATTGATATTAATAAGTAGGGCTGTCAAACGATTAATCGCGATATTATTTATATATAAAATATTATTTATATATAAAATATTTATATATAATATGATTTATATATAAATCTATATACATGAAAATATTTCTTAAATATATACAAGCATGTGTGTGTATTTATATGTAACAGTATATATATATATATATATATATATATACAAAATAATTATACAGAGTGCACACACATATATTATGTAAACACAAACTTTTATTTTGGATGCGATTAATCGTTTGACAGCCCTCTTGAGCACATTAGAGTGATTTCTGAAGGATTACATTACATTCATTATTAATGACAATAATGCAATGTATAGGATTACAATAGGATTACATTAGACTTCTGTGACACTGAAGACTGCAGGAATGATGCTGAAAATTCAGCTTTGCATCACATGAATTACATTTTAAAATAGCTTAAATTAAAATGAAAACAGTTCTTTATTTTAATATTTCATAATAAATATTTTTTTACTGTATTTATGATCAAATAAAATCTTACCAATCCCACACTTTTGAACATATGCGTATCATCTTATAACCCTGACATTAAAGTGGGTTGCGAATGTTGTTTGTTGTCTTTAGTAGAAAACTTTTAGCTGATCTGTGCTTGTTCGATTTAAGGCAGAAATGGTTCCCAAACTACATGATGTGAGTCTTTTTAGTTGTTTTATTGAAACTGCACTCTGGTTTATTAATGCGATCATTTATAATAGAACTTATCAGCTGTCTTTTTTTCCTGAACTCTGAGAACAGCCTTCAAGGCCTCCAATCTCATTCTAGCAAAGCAAACAGTTATTTTACAGTGTGTTTAGGTTGACAGCAGGTTAATGGGCCGGACTGAGAGATGCAGCTCTATGGGGCATCAGTGTAATAAGTGTGTGGTCTGATCTGTGGTTTGATCCTGTCACTTACTCGCAGCTGAAGACTCTGTTCCATCAGCCAATCAGCTCTGAGTCCAGTATATAGGAAGAAATGCCTTCCTAGCGCTCACTTAAGACCCGTTTGGGCACAACCCGAAGCTCACAAACCTTTTTAGAGTGAGTGTGTGTCCAAGTTTGTACTTTTCAGTCCTGGTTTCAGTCCCATTAGATTCACGGTGATATTCGAAAGACTAAGTAATATCACATGGCACAGAAAATCCAACTGGCTTGTTTTAGTTTTTGCTTTACAAACTTCATTTACTTGTTACTCTGAAAAATCAGTCCAGCTCGGATTGTTTCTCACTTTGTTCCAACTGAGAAACTTTTTTTTTTACCATACTTTCGCACAGGGGAAAGTATATATATATATATATATATATATATATATATCTTCAACAACTTTTCCAATTAAATTGTTTTGTTAACCTTATGTGAGATTCTGAGTTTCAGCCAATCATTATAATGAGCTCAAATCAGAGATTATTGATGTCAATCATATGCATGTTTTTTGTCCTGCCCCAGAGTTCAAGTCAATATGA